CTGGCGGCCCGGGTTCAGATCCCCAGCGCGCACCAACGCACTGCTTCTCCGGCCATGCTGAGGCCGCGTCCCCCACACAGCAACTAGAAGGATGTGCAACTATGACATACAACTATCTACTGGGGCTTTGGGGGAAAAAATAAAGAAAGAAAGAAAAAGAAGAACACAGGCTCTGAAGCAGATTGCTTGGGTCTGAATCCTTGCTCTGCCTCTTACAAGCTGTCTGACCTTGGGCACGTTTTGTAATGGAAATGAGCATTCGATTTTGGCACTTGAATAATCATTAGTAATGACTTACTTGCCCCATACTTCACTAGAGTTTGTTATCAATAATAAGAATCACTGGTATAGAAAACATTGATATTAGAAATAAAGTTCTTCACCAAAATTACAAAATTTACCAACCTATTGATGAAATTTCTTCTTCCACAGAGCTTGAGCTGTCAGAAGACAAACTCTGATCATCCTTACTTTCTGAGGAAAGATGAGTTCCATCCTCTTCATCTGTTGAAAGGTCAACCATTCTGCATTCTAACAAGACATTTTTTGAATATAACAAGAGAGAGTCAAGATATTGGAATCAATAAGTGAAATTCTGAACACCACATGGTATATGTATAACATGGTGTTTTAATTTTGCTTCACAGATTTAAAGCAGATATACAGATCTTTCTCCAACTACCATTCTTTCTGAAACCACTGGATGGTCTAATAAATGTATTTACCCTATTTGTACTATTTATCTAGTAAAATATTCTCTTAAAGGATGCAGTGAGAAGAGGGAAGGGAACAGTAGAGAAAAAAATGACAAAAAGTAAAGGACTATTTAAAACAGGAAAAATAGTGGTAGTGAATAAGTAGAAAAAGAAAAAATATTTAATGGACACTTACTATGTGCTGGGCACAGTGAAATGTTTTACAAGGTTTTTTCATTTAATATTCCCAATCCTATAAAGTAAATGCTATTACTGATGAAGACACTAATGACTGGAGAGGCTAAATAACATGACCAGTGTCACAAAGTTAGTAAGTCAAGAAGCAGGGCTTTCACACTAATTTCATCCAACTCTGGAATTTAGACTCTCTTTATATTATGTCATATTTCAATGGCTGGTGGCAAGAAGTACTGTAATGAGCACTGTGGTCTCAGAAAAAATCATGGATCTATTTCCAATGTGTGATTTTTGGGAAGGACACTTAGTCTGTCAATCAACTTATTAAACAAACAGATAACACCCATAGGGGTGTCGTGAGAATTGACTGAGCAAAATGTAAAGGAATTCATGGTATTATTGACAAGGACTTGTTAGTTCACATTTTGTCATTTTTATGAATAACCTTACAACTTAAGATAACATAAATAGTACTCTTTATCTTAAAAACTTCTCTTAATTAGAAGACCTATCTACAGTTCAAAAAAATCTGGAGTAAGATCAAAATTTAAAAGACAAAGGAATATAGCTACAGTTTACATCTTTCTTAGCTATTTCGATTTATGACAACTCCTGCCTCTTCCCCAAGTGGATTAACACCAGAGCAGTGATTGTCAGAGCATGTTCCATCAACCTTTGGAGGTCCCTAGGACCCTTTCATAGGGTCTGTTAAGTCAAAACTACTTTCATCACAATATTAACAGGTTATTTTCCTTTTCACTCTGTTGATAGTTACATAATGAAGCAAAAGCAGTGGCAGGTAAACCCGCTGGCCTCTTAGTATGAATCAACACAGTGACACCAAACTGTAGTAGCAGCCATTGTATCCTTCACCGCCATGCATTGGCAGGGGAAAAAAGTCAGTTTCACTTATGGTCCTCATTTAATGAAGCAATAAAAAATTACTAATTTTATTACATCTTGACCCCTGAGTACATATCTTTTTAATATTCTGTGGAACAAAATGGAAGCATGCACGAAACACTTCTGGGGCATACTGAAACACAATGGTTGCCTCCAGGAAAGGCACTTGTGTGTTGAGTTGCAAGCTGACCTAGCCACTGTCTTCAAGGAGGAACACCATTTTACTCGAAAGAATGACTGACAAACTATAGTTATTCAGACATAGTTATCTGACAAATATTTTCTGAAAAACAAGCAAAGTTGTGCCTGTCACTTCAAGAATTAGAGATTTCAAGTGAAAAGTGGAATTTTGGAAAACTTATATTCTCCCCTCTGAACCTGACAGCTTTCCAATACTTAAAGACTGATGATATCTGTAGTAACATTAACAGATTTTTTTTTTTGATATTGTATAACAAAATGTACCAACGTGCGCAAGATCTGCAAACTCAGCAAACCAATACTTTCCAAATAGTCAATGCATGATGTTACCAACCATGCATGGGTAAAAGATTCACTCAAAGTGCAAAAGAGACCAAAGGATTTTAAAGTAATGGAGTACAAAAAAATTTACTGATATGGTTTCAGCTTCTGTGTTGCCAATTAACCTTTAAGAAACTATAACTTGTTGAGCTTTGTTTTATTAAAGCAGAACACCCTCAATGATCTAAAAAGGCTATTAAGTACACCTCTTAATCACATATTTGTGGTTTTCTTCACATACTTCAAACAAAACAACATATCACAACAGACAATGCAGAAGCAGCTTTGAGAATTCAGCTGTCTTCCATCAAGCCAGACATTAAAGAGATTTGCAAATTGAAAACAAGACCACTCTTACTATTTTTTGAAAAAGTTATTTTTCACAAAAATGTTACTTATCCTTACCTATAATGGGTTAATTAAAAAAATAAATTAATAAGAATTTATCTTAATTTCTAATATGGTCAATATTAACAGACATAATCCACAGAAACAAAAGCTCTTTGGGATCCTCAACCATTTTTAAGAGTATAAAGGGGGTAACTAAGGCCAAAGTTTGAGAACCACTGTTTTAGAAGACAAGAGAAAAGGCAACTCCTGGCTTCAATTCTTCCTATCCAAGTTTAACCAGATGATTTACACAGAGTAGAAAAATATAAGAAGTCATCAAAACTTCAGATAAACAGAAAGCCATAACGATGACTAAGAAATCACTATAATCACTTCCACGAAAAATAGTGGGGAGAAAATTTTTTTCCTCAAGACTAACCAACAACTATTCTCATCAACCTCCAATTCAAACTAGAACACATTTTATGTAAACAACTTTATGCTGCTTGAATCTTGTATTTAAGAAACTTGCAAAGGTAATTCAAAATGGCTACACTGTATTTAACGCCATTATTGGTACAGTCTACAGTGTTATCAAGCTATTATGTTACTTAGTGACATACATTGTTATTTTTATCTCAGTTTTTGCAAATAACTGATGAAAAAACAAGCAAAAGAAAATGTCCCAAAGCCTGTCACCTAGGTTCTTCTAATGTTCTATTCTGCTTAAGTGTTTTCTAGAAAAATAATTGGGGGCTTTAACAAAAGGTACATATAACTTTCGCCTACCTAAGAGTATCAGGAATTTTCTAACTCTTTTGTGACGATTTAGGTTCTTCATAAACATCAAGTACTGCACTAAAGCTATCGTTGGTGAGGGTTCATCTGATGGTGCAAACAGTCGAGCCACAGACAGTACAGGAGTCTTTCTACTCGACCAAGGAGCCCAATGTAGAGATGCGGGCAGCGGGCGAGCGCTCGCAGGCGGGCTGCCCTGCTCACTGTCTCCGCGATACAGCGTTGCTCGAGGTCAGCAACGGGTTATAGAAGCCTCTAGAGAACCCTGTGGGCCTCCTCCCGTCCCGCCGCCCGCGTCACTTCGGGCGCCCACCCCGCTGCCCCGCGTCACCTGGGCCGCCCGAGCCGCCGTCCGCGCGGGGAGCCGCCCCTGCCGGGCGCCGGGAACTCGCCCAGACCCGGCCCCGGCCCCGGCCCCGAGAGCCCCGGGCCCGAGGGGGCCGTTCCGCCACCTCCCCACGGCCTCCTCCAGAGGGCGGCGCTTCCTCCGCAGGGCCCGGGGCCGCCTGCTCCCCCGGCGCCCCGGGTTCAGCAGACGGCTCCTCGGCGCCGTCGCTGTCACTAGAGTCGGCGCGGCGCTGTCGGAAAGTCCTCTTCGGCCTGTGAGCCATGGCCGACCGCGAGCGCCACACGCGCGTTCGCTTCCTGCTCACGCCGACCCGGGGCCCCGGCGTCCACTCCAGCGCACGCACCCACCTCCCGCCTCGCCGCCGCGTGCGCGCGCCCGTTCCGCGCGCTGCGGAATCCTGCTTCCCACTGCGCATGCGTAATTTGCCTCCGTCTCCTGTTCCCAGGACTGGGGTCTGGGAATGTAAATGGTTGTTTTTGCGGGGCCAAGTTGTGCAGACAGTCGCCCAGAGCGTCCCAGAGACTGCCGGAGCTGAGTGCCACGGAGAGCAGCACTCACAGGCTCTTCCTGTGCAAACCCTATCTAGGAATCAGGCTCTATGCCTATGTTCTGGGCTGGAACCAGTTCCGCTGTCTTCTACTTTCTGGAGAGAGTCAAGTTCTGTCTCCAACCTCTGAAAGGCTGAACAGTAAAATCCACGCATAAATTATAGGCACACAAATAAGCAAAAAATAAAATGATTGCTCCCAGGCGGCAAAGCTTCAATGGAATCTGATAATATGCTTTGGCCCATAAGAAAAAAATGTATCTGGAAACAGGGAGTGTTTAGAAAGAGGCGCAGAGATAAGAAGGACGGCTGAGGCAAACTTGGGCTGTATCCATTAAGCACTGTCGAGAGAGAGAGAGCCTTCACTATGGACTCTGAGTCGTTAGTTTCCTTGGTAAAACCCATTCTAACTTGGGTGCCTCTGACCATATCTGGAGCAAACACGTAAACATTCAGTTCATTGACCCCTTGCTGAGGTCCGCCCCGTGCTCCACAATGTTTCAGTCCCTTCTTTAAAGTTCAAGACTTTCCAAGAGGTTCATAGAAAGGATTATTTTCAGGGATAAATTTCCAGACGCTCAGCTCCCGCTATATATGGTCTGCCTGAGAACGCCTATATTTATGCTGCTCTCTGCCAATGTATTTTTGCTCCCCTTTTTATGAAGGAGAGACATAATTCTCTGTCCATCCTGAATATATTATAGTGCATACCCCCACGTGTAAAAACTCCTGCAACATCTAACATTTTATTGTCAGGATAAGAAAGTAAAGTCTCCATGACAATCCTCTGGTAAATCAGACTATTTCTAATGTCTTGCTTTCAACAAAGTTGAAGAACCAATTCCAGCTATCAGCTGACCACTCAGAAGAATTTTTGACGGTGTATCACTGATTTTTGCATATAATTCAGATGGAGTTCTAAGAATAGACTGACATTGAGAAAACATACCCCTTCATATGTGGTGAGGTTTCTCAGTGCTTACATAATGTAAAATAAAAATATAATAATACAATTGGTAATGAATACTATACCATTCTAGCAATAAGTGATAACTATCTATGGGTACGTGAACTAATGTGTGTGGGTAGACTATATTTGTCATTAGGAGATGCATTTCCAACAAAATGTTCTCTTTTGTCAAAAAAAAAATTGTGATGTATTTATGTTGTGTTGAAGCCCACCAGCCAAAGGCTACCAGAAACACACTAAGTCAAACCAAGTTAAGTTTATTTAGCTTGTCCCAGAAAAGGAGCACACAAACTAAAGAACCATGGTGTATCTTGGTAAGAGGAAGTTGAGTGGAGCTTACTGTAGGATTTGAGCTTGTGCTAGGAGATTTTAAGGAGAGATAAGGGAAGCAGGGCCAGACTTAGCTGCATAATGTCAAGAAGCTGGGACAGTTCAGCAACTGGGTACCTCAGTAATCCTGTTCAACTGAGAGGAGCAAAGGAAGAATGTGGAGCTGGGTGTCATTAGTAAGAAAGTAGCAATCACTCAGAAGTAATTCTTGCAGCTGGCTATGGTCTTGACTTCCAGCAGAGTTGATTTTCACCTCATTATTAATCATTATAAAGACAACTCAATCCAGGATTAAAAAAATCACTTAGAGCTTTATAATCACAAGAAATTACACATATATCACACTTCTATAGGGAAATATACATTGATCAGGAAAAGACTTTCAAGCAAAAACTATATTTCATTAGATAAAATGTATGAAATGGAAATATAAATTCAAGGAGAAAAAGCAATGATGTAAGGGTCTTGTTCAGTTTTTAAATGGATGATGATAAGTATTAGATAGGTTTGGTGTTTAGATTAAATCAGACACATTTAAATAAGTGACAACACATTTATTTTAAAAGTGCCAATATGTACAATACACCAGAAATTTCATCCTTTGCAAATGTCAAAACTTATGATGAAACTTGACAACTGTAGACCTGAAAATGTTCTGAGGTAATGGATGTTTAAAATTTCTGAAAGAATATGCAAACAAAAGGTGTGAAGTCCACCATCACAGATAACTATTATCACCTCCAGCTTCTTTCTACTGACTGTGGAAGCCCCAGCTGCTCAAAAAGCAGAAAAACAACACTTCTTGCCTGGGCAGTTTTATAAGGATTGTATTTTAAAAATTGGTTGGAGGATAGAGTCATAGATAAAATGGACATTGCAGTACATTTTAAGGGGTATACCCCACCAATAAGCCAATTCTCTTCTAGAAATTTCTCCCCCCATCAGGTTTCTGTAGCTATGTCCACCTCCTGGGATAAAGCTAACAGGATCAGAATAGACACCTAACCATGGTAGACCAATAAGAGCCTTTCTCCAGGATATTAGCTTTGAGAATAAGCCACAATTTATTCTCTGCATGTGGAAGCATAGCCTGTGAATGTCCAAGCTGTGAGACCACTCTTTCAGTGGTGTGCTGGGGTCAACTCCAGTGTGCTCTGGACAGCTGATTGCAAAAATGTTCTGGAACCGTGTAAGCCAGTTGTAAAACATAGTCATTATTAAAAATGAAATTATATAAACATAATCAAAGAAAGTATATTAAGAATAAAGTTAAGAAACACTCAGAACTCATCACTTCCTAATTTTCATTACCTTTTACTGTTTTCTCTGCTGTTGAGGTTATTTATATCTACTGTGTCTGTATGGTGGAAATACTATATAATGTTGTGCTACTGCACACCTATTACCAACTCTGTGTTTAGTGATGCCGTTTTGGTAGCTAGAAATCAGTCATGGTGGGAGTGTTTACACCACAGAAATGGACAGATCTTAAAAATCAGGACTTGTCCCCCAGAGAGCCAGTTTTTAAACACTTACCATTGTACTGCTGACTATATTCCACCGAAGGGATAAAAAAGGAGCAGAATTTCCCTGACTGATTTGGGTCCAGAACCTTTTTTTCATGGCTGATGAGCTAGTACTCCCCAGAACACACTTAGGAAATGCTATAGAAGGGACTGTCAATTATTCATAATTTTTAATAACTTGTTGTAAAGAGAGCTTCTTTTTAAAAAATCCAGGTAAAATCAGGGCACTGCCTGACAGACTTTTTGTTGGGGTGGTGGCAAATAGTGTGAAAAGGATACTTCTTGAAAACAGAGATATTTGTGATATCTGAAAGAACAGTTTCCCAGCATGGACTAAGTGCTTTTTATAGCCAGAAGGAACTCCAAAGACTGGAGGTAGGGGGTGGGGTGCCAAAGAGTATTCCATTTGGCCCAATGCTTTTCGGCACACCAGCCATCCATGCAGAATTGCCAAGTCCTGAACTGAGTGCTGCTCTCTTCTCCCTTAGCAGAGGGGGATGTCTTTCTTAAATCACACTACAAAGCCGTTAATGCAACACCAATAAGTAGACTCTGATTTTAAAGTAGTGAGGAGAATGAGAAAGATGATTATGATTGTGATTAGAAGGAAATTATGTGGTCTTTTATGCACTATGTAAAGAAACATAATCATGCATTGTACAATTCAACCAGCATTTATTATGCACCTACTAGTTTAAGCACTATGCTAGGCTCTAGGCCAGTGCTCCTCAAATCTAACGTTATCCAAAGCACCTGGGGATCATGTGGAACTGCACATGCTGATTGAGCAGGTCTGTGCTGGGACCCAGGAGTCTTCATTTCTAGCAAGTTCCCAGGAGAAGCCAAGGCTACTTCTGTGAGGACCACACTACAAACTGCAAGGTCCTAGGGCAGATGCTTGGAGAAATTAATCACCCTTAAGAGGTTTAAAAAAAATGTTCTGGGTAACAATCATTGATGAACTTCGTATCAGATTGTAACAGCATGCAAATGCCATTATGTCCCTCAAAATTTGGAAAGTAAATAATCCTCAAAGAGGAAAACGAACAAGAATCTATTCATAGTGATTGAGGTTATCTAACTGTAGAAGTTATTCACTGTAAGGGATATCTGTCTGCACCTTCACAAGAAGAATTCTCCACCAGTCTCCAGAATTGCTTTAGGTATTTGTCTCCATTTGAAAGGTGGTCAGCAGGACAGAATTCACTCCCAGTGTGGCTCATAGAGGGGGCAGTTTATTGAAGATAATCTAAGGGTGATGTTGGTGTTCCAGAAGGCTGTCCTTTGCCTTCAAAAGTCACCAACTCACAACCAAAATGTGAAAACACTAGGCTGACTTCAGTGTTTTCAGCTCGGTTCAGAGCCATCAGCTGATGTGTGCTAGTTGCTTACTTCCTCGTTTTAAACTATGCTGCCTTGCCGGACAGAGCCCCTTTCTTACTCATCTTAATATTTCTGTACCTAGTATAGTGTCTAATGCATAGTATGCACTGAATTAACGTGAATTCAATGAACTAAATGTGTAGATGAGGAGATTCTAAAACACCTGTGTTCAATCATGATAAGGAAACCTGAAAACAAATCACTCCATTTAATTTGTTGGATGCAAACATTTTAACAGACCAATGCTATACTAATGAGACAGAAAGAAAAACTCTGCTATTTAAAACATAAACCAAATATTTGTTACAAAGGAGGGAAGTGAGATAAGTGATTTTCTCTGGGTATTGCCTAGATGGAAGAGGACAAAATAGAGAGGACTTGTTGAATAAAGGGGGAGAAATCCTGGGTTTCCTCCTCTGACCCCAGGGAAAGCAGAGTAAAGGCTCAAGGGTAGAGTTGCTGGATTTAGAAAGAATACAGGATGCCTAGTAAAATTTGAATTTCAGATAAACAAAGAATAATTTTTTAGTGTAAGTATGTCCCATATAATATTTAGGACACACTTACATAGGACATATTGGAA